TGAAAGCTCTCCCAGGCCATGCATTGCAGGGAATGGAGGGGGCATGGAGCGTCCCAGTCAATCCTTCCGTCAGGCAGGCGGTTGGCGGAGAGGGCCTTGTATGCTTCGCTGAAGTCATCATAGGGGTTTGGTGGTAGTGGCGGCGGTTTCACCGATGGCCACTGCTGGCGAGGCAATCGGCGGCAGAATTCATAAGGGTTTAGCCCCCCAGTCATTAGAATTGATTGATCTGGGGGAGGAGGCAGGCTCCGGCGAAGAAGGGGCCGGCCCATCGGAAAGGTTCAGGGAGACAGGAATTCCTTCATACATAGCAATAATGAAGAAAGGGAAACTATTTGGCGATGGAACAAAATGAGGGTTAAGGGGCTTATAAATAGGCCCAGGCGAAGGAACCGAAGAGACGGTCAGATCTCAAGGCAGCTGAACCGATAAAGCAGCTTTGAGCAGCGCGAAGGTCCAATCAGAGATTGGGAGAAGCATTGGGTCAATTGGGCGGCACGCTGGCCAATCCTGGGATTGGGCCTGGGCAGATAAGCGGGCCGGAATTAGGAGTTGGGCCCAAACTAAAACATACATGCAAATCAGCCAGGATAGAGAAGAGAGTAAAACGCCGAAAAAGGAAGCACATAGTGGATCCAACGAATCAAGTAGCATGTGAGCATCGCATCAAAATGATGAGTCACCTCAAAAAAACACATAACAACAACAAGTGTTTACAAAAATCTGGGGGAACAACGGGGAAAGTTAAACGCTCGAGCTAGGGTTGTCACCCGCCTTGGATGTGGCTAAGCTAGCCCCCAGATTTTGATCGCCTGGGCCGTCTTCTTCTCCTCCTTCTTCCTCCTCTTCAGACGCGCTTGAGCTCCCTTCGTCCAAATAAGGGCGGGAGTCGAATTCGGCTAGGGAGCGGCAAGGAGGGGGAAAGCGGAGGTCGGGGAGAGAGAATCCTTTGGGGAGCTGAGCCAGTCTGTCACGGAAGACCTGCTGGGCCCGGAAGAGTCCACAATTGAAGGACTTGGTGCCCTCCTTGACCATCCATTGAGCCCCAGGTTCAGTTTCGAGCCACGCAGCCGTTAGCTCTTCCATCCGCTCCATCGCGACCACCGTGAAGTCGGGAGATGACTTG